GATCGATGGAAGAGTGGTATAAACATTAGATTTTTAGGATAGCCACGACCAGGGATCGAGTCCTGCATTTGGAAACTTTTTTTTTTCTGAAAAAAATCTTCAATGGCTATCGATTTTTGAAAAAGTCTAACTCCATCAGTAAGTGCAAGTAACCAAACGGGGCTAGGGCACATTTGTAAATGCATAAGTCTAAATGCTTTTTACATGTATAGAGACAAGTGATGTACTTACAGTAAAAGCAGTCGTTAACTACCTACCATGATTATCATGGCTTGTACCAAATGTGTACTTGGGATATGTACTACCATATATTTAAAGTTGAGTTATGGCGTTTATGTATTGTTCTGGACGTTTAACTTATTGGGTATTAGGGATTCTAGTATTGATCTTTGGTGTTTGCTGTGAATGTTGTTCGAATGGGCTGTAGTTTTTTTTTAGGACACAAATGGCAGCCTGTGGATTGATTATGTTTCGAAGCTAAGTGATTTATTGTCTTTAATATCATTACATTTTTGATGCGTTTTGAGACAGATTTCTATGATTATTTATTTTTATATCTGTAATATACCTTGTAATATAGATGGAAAATTTGCCGGGAGGAAATTGATCCATAGAAGCATAGGGCGCCTCTCCCGTCAAAATAAACGTCAAAACCTGACGCCATCTATTGACCGTCGCCGCAACTAGCGGCCTCTGGTCGGTGGCAAAGCCACAACACCAGCTTTGGCAAACTGAGAAGCGTCCACCTAGAGACCATCGTTTCGGGCTAATGGCCCTCGTCAGTCTAGGGCGGACTTTATTCCATGGGATCCACACGGGATCTAATGGAATCTTTACAATCTACCAAAGAAAATTCTAGCCATAGATTTGGCCAAGCCACCTTGCCAGCAAAACACCTCTTTGGTAGATTGTGAAGATTCCATTATATCCCGTGTGGATCTCATGGAATAAAGTCCGCCCTAGACTGACGAGGGCCATTAGCCCGAAACCATGGTCTCTAGGTGGACGCTTCTCAGTTTGCCAAAGCTGGTGTTGTGGCTTTGTCACCGACCCGAGGCCGCTAGTTCCGGCGACGGTCAATAGATGGCGTCAGGTTTCGACGTTTATTTTGACGGGAGAGGCGCCCTATGCTTCTATACCTTGTAATAAAAAAGAATAAAGGGAAGGAGGGAAAGTGATAAATTGTTTGCCCGTCGCGCTTAAGTGACTTCACGAGACCGCGTGCATCCAACGCGTTGTTGTTACCTTTTGTTCTTAGAATAATAAAGTTAATTTATCTTTTGTATCTTATTCTTTAATTTAATAAAAAATAAAGAGGAAAATAACAATTGCTATCCCCTAATGTTCTAGTTTTACTTACTTTTCATTTTTACCAGAATATAATGTCTATATATCATCCCAAGTCACCGGCCAAAATCTCTATCCTATTCTAGTGTTACAAATATACTGAATTTTACATCAAGATAGGTAATTATATGTAAATTAAACACATGTAAGAAACGGCGTTCTCCATTTTCTACGTCGTCACCGCTGGCCAATCATGTGCTTCCACCAACAAAACTAAAACCTATCTCCCTTCTTTCCTTCCATTCTTTCTATGAGATTTAATTACGCTTTGACCTATCCATTAATAATATAGATCTTTCTTTCATTTTTAATATAGATTCTTCCTTCAATATACACTCATGGACAAAACTTAAGGAAGTTGTACCTTTTAGTATGTATATCGGTATTCAGATAATATCTCTGAAAGATACACTCATGGAAAAAACTTAAGGAAGTTGTACCTTTTAGTATGTATATCAGGATTCTGATAATAAATCTGAAAGATATTTGAAGCAGAGTGACTTTTATTGAAGACACGAGATAACCAAGTGAGAAACAGAATTGCCTCTGTTTCCTTAAAAAAAAAAAAAAAAAAAGATGACTGGGAACATCACTTCCTTAAGTTTTGTCCATAAGTGTATGTACATGTCCATGTGTTTTTATTAAAAAAAAAAAGGGACAAAAAAAGCGATTGAAGAAGCAGTTTTTATTGTGAAGTCAGGCGGGGACACCAGCAGTTAAATCAGAGACATTGGGCAAAAGTTCATCAAAAGTCTCAGCGGAAGAGTTTCTCGAAGCAGGGATGGCAGTAGGGTTTGTCCATGTGGTCGCGGTAGGTTCCCTCCCCCAGCACGGTGTTGCAGTTGGCGCATGTGAAGTGCTCCGGGTGGTACTTGCGGTTCATGGCGATGGCACACTTCCCATCAATACCTTTCTGGCATCCATGACACAGCGTGCCGTTCCTAGTGTGATAGTGGAGCTCGCAGTAGGGCTTCCCGCTCAGCTCCCAGAATTTGTCACCCTTCAGAGGTGTCTTGCAGTCCTGTCAACACAGCCTGTATTGTCATATTTACCATCGTTGACAAATAAATCTTAAAGTTGTCAAAAAATCATCCCCTTCAGTCATTGAAAGTTATCCTTTAGGGGTGTCTTTCAGTCCTCCCAACACAGCCTGTATTGAAAAATAGTTCTCAGAGTTATCAAAAGTCACCCTCTCAGTCGTTTTAAGTCACCCTTCAGAGGTGACTTACACTCCTGTCAATACAACCTGTATTGTCAGATTTACCATCGTTGAAAAATAGCTCTCTTAGGATTATCAAAAAATCATCCCCTCAGTCATTGAAAGTTATCCTTCAGAGGTGTCTTTCAGTCCTGCCAACATAACCTGTATTGAAAAATAGTTCTCAGAGTTATGAAAAAATCATCCCTTCAGTCGTTATAAGTCACCCTTCAAAGGTGTCTTACAGTCCTGTCAGCACAGCCTGTATTGTCAGAATTCACATCGTGAAAATTGCAAATGTACAGAATAGATAAAAACAATAGTTGCAATTTGAGAAAGGAGGCTTTTAAGACAAGAAAAGTTCTGCTGCCGAGGGGTTTATTCAAGAGTTTAAGAAGTAAAATTTTGGAAAATAATTTTAATGGACCCTATTTTTTTAATGTTTATTAAAAAAATAGGGTCCATTAAAATTATTTTCCAAAATTTTACTTCTTAAACTCTTGAATAAACCCCTCGGCAGCAGAACTTTTCTAGCACACTTAGTTAGTTAACATACTTTAAAGTTAAAATTCATAATTTTATCCAAATCATAAATTTAAGCAATATTCTTTTAATGGTATTTTTTAGCACAAACACCTTAAATTTCTGAGGATTGGTCAAAATCTTCTATGAACTGGTGCTAGTCTATCTGGCCAGTGGTTGAGAAAGGATTAGAACTTATGTCCCAAAACGAGCAAGTCCTACATTTTGTAACGACACACGGGGCGAGAATTAATTCTTTCTAAAAAAAACTCTCCTTCAAATGTTTCTGAATCTACTAGCGTCCTCCCCCAAGAAGATTTCAGAGTATATTATGGATCGTTACAGCCCACTTTAAGAACCTATGCCATAGAAGAAAGAGGACCAAAGATGTGTTAGGCCACGCCTACGTATTTTAAAAGAAGGATGGACCAAAGAAGAGGCCTTGCCTACTATATAGAAGGAAATATTGTATAAGAATGGTATGCTGGTAAAAAAAGAAATTAAAATAACTTTCGGACAGAGCCATCATACAAGACAAAAGGACCGATAAAGATGCTAAATCACAACTACAAAATGAAGAGGAACCAAAAAGTATTATAAGTTACATCTTCAAGATATAAAGGGACCAAAAACGATGTTAATTACACCTACAAGATATAAAGGGGCCAAAAAAGATGTTAATTACACCTACAAGATATAAAGGGGCCAAAAAAGATGTTAATTACACCTATAAGATATGAAGGGGCCAAAAAAGATGTTAATTACACCTACAAGATATAAAGGGGCCAAAAAAAGATGTTAATTACACCTACAAGATATAAAGGGGCCAAAAAAGATGTTAATTACACCTACAATATATAAAGGGGCCAAAAAAGATGTTAATTACACCTACAAGATATAAAGGGGCCAAAAAAGATGTTAATTACACCTACAAGATATAAAGGGGCCAATAAAGATGTTAATTACACCTACAAGATATAAAGGGGCCAATAAAGATGTTAGGTTAAATCTACAAGATGAAGAGGAGAGTGGAGGAGTAGGGTATCAATAAGTATTTTAGGTTATATTAAGAGATGAAGGAACCAAAAAGGATGTTAGGTTACATCTACAGGGAAAATGAACCAATAAATATTTGAGGACACATCTACAAGATGAAAGTATGTGTTAGGCTTCATCTGCAGAAAGAAGGGACCAATAAGGATGAGGAAATTAGTCAATGTAGAATGACATTTGAAAATTATCCCACCTGTGTTTCTTTTGAACGAAAAATCGAAATTTATTTTAAGAAGAAATAACGATTATTTCTAACCTTAGGGATGAAGTATGAAAGGATGAATTGTGAAGAGTAATGATAAACGGAAAAATAAAAGTGTCCAGGGATGGGAATCGAACCCACAGTGTTCCGCTTACCGGGCAGATGCCATGTCCACTAGGGCAAAAAAAAAAGTCAATCCCTATCATGTAAATAGGAAGAATTGTGTTCTCTCCCTGCCACATTCACCTACCTTACATTGGAAGCATTGCTTGTGGTAGTGTTTCTTGAGCGCCCCCACGTAATTCTCGGTGATGGGCATCTTGCAGTGGTCACACATGGGGGCAGTGGCCTTGTCATAATCCTTCTTGCAGTAGGGCCGTCCCTCTTTCTCCCTGAAGCCGTCTGCGCC